TTCCAGAGGAAGAAAGGATGATTGAATATTTTGGGGGGAAAAGTACCTTGGTTATGGACCTAAGTGTGGGCATTTTATTAATGAGGAGTTAGAGGAACTTCCAGCTTTACCATTTTTGAGAAGTTATTGTGGACTGGGTATATGGTGTCCTGGATGTAGAAATATAATTATGTTTTCAGGTGTGAAATGGATGTTTTTTCTCTTTTTTCTCTTACAACTTTGAAACCGTTTCGGCGAGGTTATTTTCAAAGGACAGCAAAGATAGAAGCGGCAAAGAGAAATCCCACTCAGCATGTTGAAAGTCTTATATTTACGAGAATGCTAAAACTTGCTAAGACAGGAAACTATGTCCTAGTGACCGGATACATCAAGTGGGAAATCACCGATTGCTTTTATCATGGAGGAGTTTGTCGTAAGGAAAAGGTTAAGCATTTTAGCTTTGTCCCCAGAACTGTTGGGAACACAGGTAGGCTTGGTTACTAATTGAGGAAGGTAATTCAAAGCAGCTTGGACACTTTAGAGGAAATAACACGCTATACAATCGGCTTGTTTGGTTTTAGTTTTAGTGAGAACAAATACACTGGGGTTAGAAGTTAAAAATAATGAACAAATTACGAATGGAATGAAGTCTATTGGTATTGCAGAAACGTAAATAAGAGGAATAATGATAACAATGCTGATATTAGCAGTACTAACAAATATCAAATAATTCGCATAATGCTATCGGAAATTGGCAATATCTAGAGTCCAAATAACTATATGTATTGAATATGTGCAACCTACTAACTAAATATTGAATGATGAAATTGCCTCCAGGAAGATCCCCAATTTCCGGTGCTTCTTCAAGGAACGTGACGGGAAGCTGTGGGTGCGTGAGGACCCGAATCCTGACATTGATTTTGAGGTCAGTTGATAGAGATTTCTTTGTGAAAAATGTGTGTGTATATATATATATATTAATATATATATATATATATATATATATATATATATATATATATATATATTAGTGTTGAATCTGGTTTACTAAAAAAAGAAAAAAAAATCGTAGTAATAGAGGTTAGGAAATATTCTAGTTTGTAATATAAATAGATTTTACATTTACATTCAGTGACCGATTATTTTGGATTTAATAGAATATAGAATAATTTAATAGATTTTCCTAAAACAATAATACAAAAAAAAATGATTCCTAGAGAAATCTATGCATATTAATCTTTGATCTTTATATTGCAGTATCTGGAGGGAGTCGAGAGCATTGACATTATAAATGAACACATAAACAAGCCTTTCTTTAGCGATCGCACGCCCACTTGGAGAGTGAGGCTCATCCCTGTGCCCTCCGACGCCCCTTGCCCCATGCCCGAAATAAAGGCAGCTTTCCCCTACCAGTATGACCTCGGCGTGATGTCCCACCACTCATTCATGGACGGGGTCAGCCTAGCCATTGTCACCGGCAAACTTGTAGGACTGTTGAACGATGTTATAGCCGGGAGACCCGTAAACGACGAGCCCTTTGGGGTCTACGTGAACAACGAGGAAATTGTCAAGATCGATGAACAGATTGCGAAGGACTTCGAGAAGGAACCCGAGAAGCTGGAGTTAACAAAGCAAGAGATTCTGGCATGTGACTCTGCGCCCCTCCTGCTGAAGGCTTTCCCGCCACCTGGAGGAACACCGGCAACCAGTTTTGTTTATCAGATTATCAAGCAGAAAGACTTAGCTTCCTTCATGTCAAAGTGCAGAGCCAATGGCGTTACGTTCAACAGCGGACTGGAGGCTGTGATTAATACCGTCACTGTTGAGATGGCGAGGGAGGCGGGAGTGGAGGGGGAGTCTCACCACATGAGCATCAATCTAGCGACGGATCTGAGACGCTACATGAAGCGCCGTTCCCTCCCGATCCTTGGCTTGCACTTGCGCCCCACTGTGCACAGGATGGAGACGCCTTTCGACGTCAGGGACAACTTCTGGGACTACACCAGGAAGCTCCACCAGAGGCTCTCAGTTCTCCTAAAGTCCGGCGAGGCCCTTCAGCAGAACGTGGTGAGGGAGATGACCCTGCCGCAGCTCTCCCCGGTGGAACACCACGCAGCAGGACCCAAACCCCTGCGTGACTACGGCCTCACTAACGTCGGGGATCTCACGGCCATCATTCCAGGCGTCGGGGAGCACCTCCAGCAGACAAACGTCTTCATGTTCAACTGCACGCACTACTCTGGCTTCCCGATGCTTCACCAGATCTACACCTTCAGAGGACATATGCCCTACACAATTGGCTACGACGCGTCCTACTTGGCAAAGGAGACTGTTGAAGCACTCATGGACAGGATTTTGACCCTTATGCACGAACTAGGGACATCGCCCTAGAATGCTAAAATAAGACAGGGTTCAGAAGCAGAGACCAGACTGGAATCCTCATGTGTATAACATCTTTCCTCCACTTTTTTCCTAGATAATGGTTCTTGATTACTGTAAGAACACGACAAAATTACTTTCATATATTTAGATGCTATGCTGTAACAAAAATTATGAACAAAAGATAAATTTTAAAAAATGTCAACACTCTAGAGAAACTATTTAAAAGGATAATCTTTACTTGTCAGAACATGAATAGGTCTTTCAAACTGCGAGTTTTGAATGAAAATAACAAAGGTGATGTTTCTTGTTATGCCCATCCCCGGAATGGCCTTGGTGCAGTCTTAAGTAGTCAGTATTTATCCTCTAAGAGGTTTATAAAGCTATTTATATATTCCAGTTCATACTTTTGGTCGGCACGGATGTGGTTACAACTATAATAATTTTTATTTGCCATGTTAGGGGTTTGTTTACTATTGTGACGTCATGAAACAGCAAAGCTTCGAAACCCATTCAAGGTATCTGACCAAGAAGTTCCATCGAGAACCAAAAGGAACAAGAAATTTCAAAATTCTTCAAGAAATCATGAAATGTCTTGCCGTCAAAAAATGCGCCTATAGAGTCTAGTCTTTCTGACAGGGTTTATTTGAATCAGGAATTATAGTCTCATTTTCTGATAGGTTAAATATAAATCCTGTAAGTCAAATTACAAAACTTAATATGAATTTATCTGATTCTGGTCTACTTACGTCTAAGTTGTTCATAATGATTACTTTGTATTATCTGTATCCACCAGTAGGGTTTAACAAAATTACATAATATATTTGCATGACTTCGGTACAACAAATTACCGGCATATTTTTGACTATCTGGCAACTCACCTTGACAGTACGGTACTCTGAGTTGCCATTCGCCTCTTTTTTTCAGTTTCATCGCTAAATGCTTATATTTACATGATTCGTATTTATATTTATGAAACATGGGTACAGTATATTCTATTATTTATTTATTTATTGAGATGTGCTGTCGTTATTATTATTTCATTTAGTTGTTATTTATTCATTTATTTATTTATTTTTTTTCAAATTCCTGAGGATGCACCGTTGTATGTTTTGGTGAAATAATATATAACATTCTCAGTTTGACTTCGGTATTACAAGATATATCGATATATTTTTAACTGTCTTGTTCAGTATATGATTACGTTCTTATGAAGAAATATGACATTATTTCGATATTGTTTTTCTTCTCTCTCATCTTCTTCTTATTTTTATTTTTTCTTCTTTCTTTTTATTTTCTTTTTTTTTCTTCTTCACAGATCTACCTTTTCTTTGCTTTCTGATGAGTTGTTTATCGGAATTTGTGTTTCTTTTTTTATCATGTATTGTTACAAAAATCTCTGACGATAGCTGAATACAATATCTTATTTAAAAAAATATATATATTAATTTCAATTAAAGAGAATTATATATATGACTGGACGATGGGTTACTATTAGATTAATCCCTGAATGAATTAAAGATTTTATATATACCGATGGGTTGATGTATTTTTAATATTAATCCCAGAATGAATTAGCTTTTATATACATCCTCTTTTGCCAGATTTTAGTTTTTATCGGAAGCTGTAATTCGAAAAGGGGTGGGGGGGGGGGTCTCCTGTTTTAGGAACTGATAGCTGCTAGACAAAAAAAAAGAAAAAGATGCTCCGTTGTGCTTAACAATTTGCCAAGAAAATGCATTTCCAGATATTTTTGTAACTTTATATAATAAAATTTGGTTATATGTTTATTTTTTTTATTATTATTTTTTTTACTCTTTAATAATATCCTATTAAAGAGTAAAGTTTCTCTATATATTCACACAGCAATAGTTACCAAGGCAGAGCTTAGTTAGCAAGTGTACTAACGGACGACGGAAAAATAAAATAATGTATTTCGTTGCATAAAAATAAGTAAAAATAGAAAATAAAATCTAAATTAGGAAATATTTTCAAGGTTTAATTTCAGAAATATACGCAGAACATTTCCAACAAAAGGAAAGACACGAAAAAATTATTGAGATACAAAATAAAATAACCCCGTAGCCCCTCTACTCTCTCGAACACAAACCCTAAAATAAGTCTTTTTTTGACGTAATTTCTTCCGAAAATAATGATGTATTTTTTTTTTATTGTCTTGTATACACAATATACATTTGTGTATAAATGATTAAGATATAGCTATATAAATCTATATGTATATATAGATTGGAAATTTTATATATATATATATATATATATATATATATATATATATATATATATATATATATGTAGATAGTGATATATCAGTGTGTGTATATACCATACCATAACATGTACACCATTGATTGCCACCCTCTGTATCATATTAACCGTGTAACTATCTACCTCCATACATGTAACAACTTGTTTGCTAGTGGCGTGTTCCTGTAACAACATGCCTCAGGCAGAGCGTCGCCAGCGAGCTGAATGTAAGGTCGCACACCGCAGTGCTCCTCTGTGTACTCTAATATAGCCTTGATAAGTGGTCCCTGGTTTCATTTGAACCTACAAGCATATCCGGCAAATCATCACACCACAGTCTATATAAATAGAAAATGAAATATATATATGTATATATATATATATATATATATATATATATATATATATATATTTATATACAATTATATATGAATATATAAACATTTATATATTTATACACACACACACACACACACACACACACACATATATATATATATATATATATGTGTGTGTGTGTGTGTGTGTGTGTGTACATATATCCATTGCTAGTCTGCCTCTGCAAGTTCAGTTCCCGTTACATAACTATATTAAAGTACCCACTCTTTCCCATCACCGAAACACGCCGGCATAACAGCTGGGCGGCTATACTCTCGTTTACCCCGAAAACAAAGGCATAAATCTTGATAATATTTTGACTCCCATTCGCACGTGAGAACCGTTGCAGGGAAAGCAGAATAACCTATCCCTCCGTCCCCTCTAACGCCATCTATACCCGTGTCACTTCGCACTATACTCAAGTACTGAGTTTCTTCCGAAGGTGCTCCAGCTGGCCCTTCCGGTGAGGCCATGGCGCTTACCGTGGGGTGTCGGAAGGGGAGAGGGAGATCTTTGGTTTGTGGGTCTTAAATCTGCCGAAAGAGTTTAAGTAAGTAGAGGCTCCCTGAAGTCTGTTAGTGATGAAGCAATAATGTTATCTACTATCTGGCCACTGTCATCTAATTAGACGATCCGTCTCGCTGTCACCAGATTTTTCTAATGCTCTTCAATATCAAATCAGATTAAATCAATAAAAGTTTAAATATTCTCAGTGATTATAGTGATAATTAATCAGTGATTTCAAAATAACAATAGTAATACTATTAATTAGTGCAATTCAGAGTGCCTATAACTATATATGTAAACATATATGTCTATGTGTGTGTGTATTTGTATACATATGTCTGTATGTATGTGTGTTTGCATATATATGCATATATGTATGTATATATATATATATATATATATATATATATATATATATATATATATATATATATATGTTTGTTTATATACTTATATAATCCTTTTTGTATTTATTCTCAATAAGATTCATGATTTGTTTCCGTTTCTTTTACCATATCTTTCGTCTTCTTTTATCATCTTTGTCAAAAGGTTTCCAAAAAGGAAAGTTTAGACACTAATCTCGCCTTCGCCTCAGCAACAACTCGTACTTTAGTCTCACTAACAAAAAACTTATATGACTCTACGCACTCTCTCTCTTTCTCTCTTTCTCATCTTATTCTACACCCTCTCTCATCTACATTCCATCTCTCTCTCTCTCTCTCTCTTCTCTCTCCTCTCTCTCTTCTCTCTCTCTCTCTCCTCTCTCTCTTCTCTCTCTCTCTCTCTCTCGCCAAAGTGAAATTCTGAGGTGAATAGGTTTACAGCTTGTGTTTCGTCCTGACTTCGAGTTTTACACCATATTTGCAACCGTAATTCTCGGCCGTTTATAAGCGATCTAACCACACCATTTCCTGTCATAAGTTAAAGCTGATTTCATAGAAAATGGGGGTGAAAGTATTACCTTTTGTTAAGGTGGCGAGTTCGCATCTCCCTTTCTCAACGCCTCACACACACACACATATATACACACAAATATATATAAACATATATACGTGCATACAGTAAGCCTTTAAACTTAAACACACACACACACATATATTTTGTTTATATATACATTTATATACATGTATTTATATATATATATATTTCTATATATTTAATATATATATGTATTATATGTATTTATATATATTTGATATATATGTATATATATATATATACATATAGATATATATTAAATATATATAAACATTTATATATATATAAATATATATATATATATATATATATATATATATATATATATATATATATATATATATATATATACGTATATATATTTCATTTTCTATTTATATATACATATAGATTTATATAGCTATATCTTAATCATTTGTACACAAATGTTGTTTTCATTCTCCTTTACATATGTATTTAAGCTTGTTATTCTCCTTCTTATCAAAGGAAGAAAAGGAAATGAAAAAGACTGGCTAGAACAAAACAAACTTATTTTAGGGTTTGTGTTCGAGAGAGTCGAGGGGCTAAGGGGCTATTTTATTTTGTATCTATCTATATTTTTTTTTTTTTTCGCTTCTTTCCTTTTGTTCTGAAATTAAACTTCGAAAATATTTCCTAATTTAGATTTTTATTTATTTTATATTTTTATTTATTCTTATGCTATGAAATACATTTTTTTCCCGCCACCCGTTGGTATATTTGCTAACTAATCCTCCTCATGCGTAATGAGACTAAGCTCTGCCTTGGTAACTATTACTGTGTGAATATATAGAGAGAAATATTTCTCATACGTGGAAAAACCCTAAGAAGTTACTCCTTAATTGGATATCCCCAATAAAAACGAGTAAAAAACAACAACAAAAAACAAACTTACATACCAAAAAACAAATTTAATTATATAGTTACAAAAAATCTGGTAATGCATTTTTTTTGACAAACCGTTAAAGACAACGTATATTTTTTTTTGTCTAGCGGCTATCAATTCCTAAAACAGGACCCCCCCCAACTCCTTTTCGAAATACAGCTTCAGATGAAAACTAAAATCTGGCAAAAGAGGATGTATATAAAGGCTAATTAATTTTGGGATTAATATTAAAAATATATTAACCCATCGGCATATATATAACTTTAATTCATTCAGGGATTAATATCTTATATTAACCCATCGTCATGCCATATATCTAATTCTCATTAACTGAAATAAATATGTTAAAAAAATCAAGATATTGAATTAAGCTTTCGTCAGAGATTTTTGTCGAAGGAAACAATCCCGTAACAAAACATGATAAAAAACACACAAATTCCGATAAACAACTCGTCAGAAAGCAAAGGAAAAGCAAATCAGTGGAGAAGAAAAAGAAGAAAGAAAGAAAGAAGGCAAAAGGAAAAACTGGAAGAAGAAGAAGAAAACATTATGTAATATCGAAAATGCAAACAAGGTCATATTTGTTCATACGTAATTCTACACTGAACAAGACAGTAAAAAATACATCGATATTTTGTAATACCGAAGTCACCAAACCATACAACGGTGCATCCAACCTCAGGAAAGAAAAAACTGGCAACTCTAGAGTTTCCCAAATTAAAGAAAAAAGGCAATTCAGAGTACCGTAGTGTCAAGGTGAGTTGCCAGATAGTCAAAAAAATGTCGGTATTTCGTAGTACCGAAGTCATACAAATATGTTTTGTAATTTTGTCAAACCCTACTGGTGGGTACAGATAATACAAAGTAATTATTATGAACTACCAGACGCAAGTAGACCACAATCAGATAAATTCCTATGAAGTTATATAATTTGATTTGAAAGATTTATATTGACCTATCAGGAAATGAGACTATGATTAATGATTCACATAAACCTAGCCGAGACTCTAAAGGAACATGATTTCTTGAAGAACTTTGAAATTTCTTGTTCATTTTGGTTCTCGATGGAACTTCTTGGTCAGATACCTTGAATGGGTTTCGAACCCAGACCATTTTAAATTGCCTCCAGAGGAAGCTTTGCTATAGTTTCATGACGTCACAATAGTAAACAAACCCCCAACATGGCAAATGAAAATAAGTGATCTCAATTAAATTCTTGTGATAAGTTACTTTGTCGCCAATAGAAGGTATTATAGTTGTGACCACATCCGTGCCGACCAAAAGTATGAACTGGGATATATAAATAGCTTTATAAACCTCTTAGAGGATAAGTACTGACTACTTATGACCTGAATGGCCATAATAACGAAATGTCACCTTTGTTATTTTCATTCAAAACTCGCAGTTTGAAACACCTATTCATGTTCTGACAAGTAAAGATTATCCTTTTAAATAGTTTCTCTAGAGTGTTGACATTTTTTAAAATTTATCTTTTGTTCATAATTTTTGTTACAGCATAGCATCTAAATATATGAAAGTAATTTTGTCGTGTTCTTACAGTAATCAAGAACCATTATCTAGGAAAAAAGTGGAGGAAAGATGTTATACACATGAGGATTCCAGTCTGGTCTCTGCTTCTGAACCCTGTCTTATTTTAGCATTCTAGGGCGATGCCCCAAGTTCGTGCATAAGGGTCAAAATCCTGTCCATGAGTGCTTCAACAGTCTCCTTTGCCAAGTAGGACGTGTCGTAGCCAATTGTGTAGGGCATATGTCCTCTAAAGGTGTAGATCTGGTGAAGCATCGGGAAGCCAGAGTAGTGCGTGCAGTTGAACATGAAGACGTTTGTCTGCTGGAGGTGCTCCCCGACGCCTGGAATGATAGCCGTGAGATCCCCGACGTTCGTGACGCCGTAGTCACGCAGAGGTTTGGGCCCTGCTGCGTGGTGCTCCACCGGGGAGAGCTGCGGCAGGGTCATCTCCCTCACCACGTTCTGCTGAAGGGCCTCGCCGGACTTCAGGAGAACCGAGAGCCTCTGGTGGAGCTTCCTGGTGTAGTCCCAGAAGTTGTCCCTGACGTCGAAAGGCGTCTCCATCCTGTGCACAGTGGGTCGCACGTGCAAGCCAAGGATCGGGAGAGAACGGCGCTTCATGTAGCGTCTCAGATTCGTCGCTAGATTGATGCTCATGTGGTGAGACTCCCCCTCCACTCCCGCCTCCCTCACCATCTCAACAGTGACGGTATTAATCACAGCCTCCAGTCCGCTGTTGAACGTCACGCCGTTGGCTTTGCACTTTGACATGAAGGGAGCTAAGTCTTTCTGCTTGATAATCTGTTGAACAAAACTGGTTGCCGGTGTTCCTCCAGGAGGCGGGAAAGCCTTCAGCAGGAGGGGCGGACTGTCACATGCCAGAATCTCTTGCTTTGCTAACTCCAGCTTCTCGGGTTCCTTCTCGAGGTCCTTCGCAATCTGTTCATCGATCTTGACAATTTCCTCGTTGTTCACGTAGACCCCAAAGGGCTCGTCGTTTACGGGTCTCCCGGCTATAACATCGTTCAACAGTTCTACAAGTTTACCGGTGACCATGGATAAGCCGGCCCCGTCCATGAATGAGTGGTGGGTCATCATGCCGAGGTCATACTGGTAGGGGAAAGCTGCCTTTATTTCGGGCATGGGGCAGTAGGCGTCGGCGGGCACGGGGATGAGCCTCACTTTCCAAATGGGCGTGCGATCGCTAAAAAAAGGCTTGTTTATCTCTTCATTTATAATGGCATTGGTCTCGACTCCTTCCAGATACTGCAATATAAAGATTAAAGATTAATATGCATAGATTTCTCTAGGAATCAAAACTTTTTTTATTAGTAGTATTTTAGGGAAATCTAAGGCCATTATATTTTATTAAATCCAAAATAATCGGTCACTGAATCTAATGTAAAATCTATTTATATTACAAACTTTAATATTTCATATAGTAATTTCCATTACTACATTTTAGTAGATCAGATTCTTTTCTAAGAACCAAAATCTTTTTAACGTTCAGAGATTTAAGATTCCATTTGTTTTAAATACAATACTAATCATTTTTCAATTATGATACTCAGAGCCATTTTCATAAGGTACATCATTTATCAGATTCAACACTAATATACATACACATTTTTTCCAGTATTCTCGTTATTCTTTTTTTTTTTTAAGAAATCTCTATCAACTGACCTTAAAATCGAGGTCAGGATTCGGGTCCTCACAAACCCACAGCTTCCCGTCACGTTCCTTGAAGAAGGCCCGGAGGTTGGGGACCTTCCTGGAGGCAATTTCAACATTAGAGTTAGCAGATTGCAGTTATTCAATACATGTGGTTATTTGGACTCTAGGTGTTGTTATTTTCCGATGGCATTATGCGAGTTATTTGACGATTGTTAGTATTGCTAATATCAACATTGTCATTATTATCCCTCTTATTTACGTTTCTGCAATATCCATAGACTTCATTCCAGTCGTAATTTGTTCATTATTTTTAACATCCAACCCCAGTGTATTTGTTCTCACTAAGTGCCCGAGCTTCTGTGAATTACCTTCCTATATTAGTAACCAAGCCTACCTGTGTTCCCAACATATCTGGGGACAAAGCTAATGGTGTCCCACTTGATGTATCCGGTCACTAGGACATAGTTTCCCATCCTAGAAAGTTTCATTAATCTCATAAAGTATAGGACTTTCAACATACTGAGATAAGAAAAAAAAACATCCTTTTCATACACTAGATCATAATTGTATTTCTACATCCAGGACACCATATATCCAGTCCACAATATCTGCTCAAAAATGTTAAAGTTCCTCTAACTCCTCATTAATAAAATGCCCACACTTAGGTCTATAGCCAAGGTACTTTCCCCAAAAAAATATTCAATCATCCTTTCCTCCACTGGAAAATACAGATGGGTCAATTTCAAATATTCTCTCTAAGCCTTAGCTTCGTTTTTACATCCATCTCAATTTTAGGCGACCTGAGGAACCAGCCTCCATTTTATCCAACTGTGAATGCTTCCGAGTCTCCCATCAATTTTGCAATGCATGGAGTTCGCCAAACCATTACAAATCCCAAACACCTTCATCACTAGCAAGTTGCCACTATTCTCCATAACCTTCCCTCCTTCCAAGCATTGTACTTCCATTCCTAATCAACCAAATCCCTGATATATAAGACAAAAGACCCAATCATTACCAAAACAACTCACAGCTAGGCTAAGGTGATCTCCTTGGATATCAGTGGACATTTCCCCAACCCTTGGTAGAAAGCCCCAAATTTCCTTCCTTGTACCCTTACCTCTGAAAGTGCTTCATGGCTTGCTCAACGTGCCCAGGGTCCAGGGGCTTAACGGTGTTATATCTGTGGCTTACAATAATCTTCTTGCATCCGATGTCGTGTCCTGCTTTGAACATCTCCATCTCTCTGTAGGCCGGCCACAGCCAGTTGCACTCAGGCCCGTCTTCAGCTCTGGAGAAAAAAGGGTTTAACTGTTATTTGCTTCTTTCTTTCTTTCTTTTCTTTTCTTTTCTTTTTTCATGACCACTTTTCTTCTCTCTCTCTCTCTCTCTCTCTCTCTCTCTCTCTCTCTCTCTCTCTCTCTCTCTCTCTCTCTCTCTCTCTCTCTCTCTCTCTCTCCCTCTCCCTCTCCCTCATTCTCTCGTGTGTGTGTATGTGTATATGTATATGTACATATATATATATATTTATATATATATATATATATATATATATATATATATATATACATACATATATATATATATATATATATATATATATATATATATATATATGTGTATATATATATATGTGTGTGTGTGTGTGCGTGTGTGTGTGTGTATACATGTGTGTATGCACACACACACACACACACACACACACACACAACACACACACACACACACACACACACACACACACACACACACACACACACATATATATACATATATATATATATATATATATATATATATATATATATATATATATATATATTATATTATATATATTTATTTATTTATTTATGTATGTATGTATATATATGTATATATGTATACATATATATATATATATATATAT